CAAGATGATGTCTAAATTGAATTTTGGATTTTTAATTAACCTACAGTTTTTCACATGAAAAGTGTATAACAGCCATTTTCTCCGAGAAAAATAAAATAAAATTTCAAAACCAAAAGGGGACTCACATTCAGAAAAAAATAGCGACACAATTATTCAAGAAAAATATCAAAAAACAATATAAAACACTTTCTGTCGTTTTGTTTGTATGTAAAAAAGCTTGTCATCTAGTTTCAGTTGATGGAAATTGTGTGATAAGTTTTTTCTCTCATATATTCCAAATCGGAGAGTTTCTTATAAGCTAAATTCGTGTACGAAGGTCACTTAGGCACAGAAAATCATTCCTGAATTTCCAACGCAGGAAAGAAAATTCAACCTTGAAACTTTTGCTCATAAAAAATACATGGAAATCATTACATTTTACTTTTTCATTGTTCAATGACAACTTTTCTAACAGTTATTTCAAGTGAGGCTAAACTTTTAACAATATTGATATTTCAAAACGAAATCGATTTTGTTATTTTAAGCCATCCAATGGAAACAAAGATAAGCATAACGGCAATTGACAATTTCAAGGCAATTTTCTTTTAATGACAAATAAATTTAATTTAATGATTAATTATATTATTGTTACACGCGAAAGGTTTGTTCTCGAAAAAATAGAGGATATTTTTCTTTTGCAAAACACAGTTTGCACACTTTGACACATACACAAAAACATACAGGAGAGATTTATTATCAGAGGTGAGGCAAAAACTTCAATCTTATTTTAGTTTTTATTTCAGCCACTTCAAATATCAGCAGTTGCTTCGGCAGAAAAACTCAATCACATTGTGCATTAATTCAGAGTTTGGATTTTTTTTTAAAAAAATTTTCATTCCTTATAAAAGTTAGTTTCAGAACCTAGTCGTAAAAAAGACTTTGAAAACGAAAAATATAGGAACAAATCGAAACAGAGGTTTGCTTACAAGAGTTCCTGTGTTTTTTTTAATTGCGCCAGTCGACTTGGCTTTTTTGTAATTTGATAGATTTTGATGGCAAAAAGAAAAGTTTCATATTCTCTAGTCATCCTTAGTAAATCGAACAAAAGTTATAAAAAATTATTTTCACAGTTTTTGCTGGAATTTAAAAGAAACTCAAAACATAATATATTACTGTTACTTTCATCATTTTGAAAGAGACATCACTCGGCCGATAGAAAAATCTCCTCATGATTTTTGGAGCTTCAGTAAATTCTACATAATTGGAACTGTAATTTTGATTGTTACATACCAACTTGAAAATTATTTTTTACGAATTTGTCCGATTCAAATGGTGAACCTAAGTAAATGATTGAGATTTTTTGAGAAGTACTTACAAAATCAGATGAAGGAAAATCATTTAATAAAAAAGCAATAGCAACTAAAAACGCTGGACCATTTTTGGAAGTAGAGATTGCGTAACAGGAAATTGGGCCAGCAAATAAAGTTCAAAAGGCTTTTTTTAGTACTTAAATTAGAATTTCAAAAAGCTATTTATTTTGTACTTTTGAAAATTACAAACGAAAAATTTGCACTTCAATATAATCAAATACCTGATTGGTTTTATTTTAAATGTTATTCATACAATTCTCAATAATTGCCATACCTTGACCTTATGAAAGAGTTTTGGGACACTGAAGCACTGAAGCACATTCTAGTGATATTTTTCTCATGCAATCATTTAACTCTGAAATATATATGGTCCATATATGGGACTTGTAAGACTGACATTTTTCACCAGTGTTTGCTTACTACGATCCTTCTATACCGGAAACCCATTGATACAAGGTAATGGTCTGCTTCAAACCTTCTATTAAGACTACCAAGCAATGTTTCCAGATTGACATAACAATTATGATCATTATTACTAAAAACTGTTAATAAAACTGGCATCGCATGCATTTTGATTCCTTAAAATAAAAAGTTATTCCATCGCAACAAAAAATTTTCAATGCCGAAGATCAGAGACGGTTAGAACTAAAAGCCGAAAATTATATAAGCCGAAAAGTTAATTCTTGTAAATGGATTCCTCAGGCAAACGTTTTTGGTAGTTAATGTGGGTTCCATTCATATGGATTACAACTATAGGTTCTTAACATAGCATCAACCCAGAGTTAGATACAGAATACAGCTCGAACCATATTTGTTCACGTCTCGTGAAAAGCCAGATACGTTCAAATTAAGTAGGAACTTGTATCATATTCAGCACGTTTTAAACTAAAATTGGTTGTTGATGTTACCCGTACCGAACTTTTTGGCCATAATCATATCTGATCATTTTAAAATCATGCAAAATTCATGTCTGTAACAGATGTGCAGCATGTCTATATTCGGCATGCACATACCTGCATCAGACCTGCATCAGGTGTGCTAACTGAAGATATGCTCACACCTGCAGCATGCATGATCATGCCTGAACTGAACATGCTCACACCTGCAGGATACATGATCATACCTGAACTAAACATGCTCACACCTGCAGGATACATGATCATACCCGAACTAAACATGCTCACATCTGCAGGATACATGACCATGCCTGAGCCGAATATGCTCAAATCGGTATCTTCAGTATTATAAGATAATTAAAGAAATGGTTAAATTGTAACAACATCATAAACTCAGCTTGATAATGTGACACTTTACTTCAAATTTTTAGTTTTTTTTTCAGATTTTTTCTGACATCGGTGAAGTTTTTTGTTGAAAATAAACTGTAGTGGTTAGATGCATCTTTCTTTAATTGCCAGCAGGGAGTCGTTGGTAGCGGAGCGTGTGGATACTTTTCTCTGTTTCCTGTCAACATAAAACTAATTGTTAGTCAAAACTTCATCACTTTAAATAAATGCTTAACAAATAAAATTAGACAAAAATCATGCGTTAAAAAGTAGTCGCATATTTGTTGTTAATTTATTCAATGAGATCATCAGTATCAACCAATCAAATCTTTTTAATTTATTCGCAATTATTGCGGCTACTGGTTCGCGAAAATTGAAGGAATATTGGCCAAAAAATTTTGTGACGAATTGCTTCAATTCAATGCTTTATAGTTCAAACCGGGGATTCTTAGTTTTTTCGACTATCCCTCCCGGTGACCCCCTGGAACTAACCTGACGTCCTCTTTTTTGGGATGTAGATGCGACATAATTTTCTTCATTTGAAGATATTTGACTCGAGGAGATAAATTTGGATAAGCTCATTTCAAACAAAATCTGAAAAAGTGAATTTTTAACAACAAAGACCAATTAGTCAAGATACGAAGAATTGTATAAATAAATATGAATTTGTCAAGTTTTCAGTCAGTCGTTATCATGTCTGCGACAGGCATGAACATGTTTCACTCAGGTCTGATCATGTAAGATCCAGGTACGACCACTCTGTAGAAAAATACGCATGCTCACTTGTGAACAGCCCTGCATAATGGGGGAACAGTCCTGAGAATTTTCTCTCCCCTGCTAAATGGATGATCAGCCGTGAAATGACACAAAAAGTTCAGTACGGATATACTTTAAATTTTTTTGCGCAGCTTTGATTTTTTATTCAATCAATGTTACTAAATTTTCTTAATTTCAAGGGAGAATGAAATTTGGAAGTTGATTAAATGTAATTGAATTGCATGTATGTATATCTGTTATGCATAAATCAACTTTGAGAGGGAGTGCATTTTTTTTCAGCCAAAGTCTTCCAAAAAGTTTTTTTTTGTGTGTTTTTTCTCAAAAAAAAGTGATGTTTGTGTACGTAAATACTAATTTTCTAAATACTAATTAGTAATATTTCCGAATACTTATTTTGACAAAAATTGCGCTGTAGATTTTGGCCAAAAAATCACAAAAGTGACTTTTTCTAATTTTACTTTTTAAAAAGATTCCAAAGAACTTTGGCAAAATTAGGGTTGAGGTGGTCAACAATTACAATGTGATGGATTATTTTTCTGTTGGGAGGTTTGTGAAGAAATTTTGGGGCAAGAGACAGAACGGCAAACGCTATGGGAGGGAAGGTGTGTTATTGGAATTATTTTGCAATTTAAGAACCTTTAGGCTTAGAGATCGAGTAGCCTCTACAATCGTTTTGAACATTTTCGCATAATTCATTTGATAAATACAGAAATTCTAATTACCTATTCTACGACGCGAAACAAAAAGAATCGGGAAAAAATTTCTTTTTCACTTGAAGTTAAATGGATTATAATTAATTTTGTTTTCGATAAAACAATGGATTATAATCGATTTCTGATTCGGTTTTGTTGTCTGAGGCAACATGGGATCTACTATATTTTTTCAAACTTTAGAGAGTGATTTCAAACTTTTACAAAATTGAGAGTGATTTCACAGATATCAGACAAATATGTTTTTAAATTGAACTAATAATTACTAGCTACCAGTGTTGCAGTCAAACTGATAAAGAAAACTTTAATGAGGATAAAACCGAGTTCAAATTTTTTAGCCGGTAAGCATTTTCAAAAACTGATATCGGCGTTTTTCAAGCATGGTTGCTTTTTGTTTTGATTTCTGGTATAGTATATCAAAAAACACATACATGGTAAACGTGTGTTTTTGAATAAAACATCATTATCCAATTTTCCCTTGTTAAATTTTCAATGTAAACTGATAGCCTCAAGATATGTCTGAAAATGACTTTATATCAATGATCTTTTCGTTTCAACAGTTTGAAAACAATTTCACACAAATTTTCCAAACAGTTTGTCAGCAGTTTAGTTTGTAAAAGTGTGTGCAATTAAAAATCTCATAATAAAACAATTTTGTTTTCTTTCATTTTGTGCAAAGTACGGATTAATTATGATTTTCAAAGTGCAGTTTGGTTTTATTACTCCAAAATTTTAAGGCAACAGAAAAAACAAACAAATAAGATAAAGAAATTGTTGATTTTTGGGTTTTATTTTTGTTCAAGCCTCACAGGGTTACAATTTTTTTTTATCTGGGCAGTGATTGGGTATTCTAATTGTCATTTTTATACTTGGTCGAAAAACATAATTCATTTCAGCTTTAAATCTATCATTCGTCATTTTACTCAATAGATCAATACAGCACCGCTTGAGGGAAAAATTTTGTCTAACTAAGAAAATTGTTAACATCATTCGGTAAGACCGTGTTTTTCCCTGTTCTTTTTTCTACTTTTTTAAATTTAAAATTACTGTTATTAAAATTTGATGCATAAATGAAAAGTTTTTGATGTTTTGGAAGCATGAGTCTGATTTTGTCAGCATATCATTTAAAATTTCGTTCGTTTTGAACTGTCTGTCTAAACGGCGAGAAACACAAAATGAGCCACAACAAATCAAAATGGAACGGATTATTCCTTACTTTGTATTTTACAAATCAATATTCATTTTCCCTATTTTTCTTTCAACAACTCTCGATGAGTGGGGAAGAACAAGGGCGTAGAGTCCAAGTTTTCAGGCCTGTTATGAGTACCTCAAAAAAACTCGGGATCATGTGTGGTATCACATTCAAGCTCCATTGGACATCAGTTTGATTTTTAAAAAAGCCCAAAGGAAAAAGCCCAGTCAAGAAAAAATAGTTTGTGTTTATCCGGCTAAATTAGATGAAAACTGCTGAGATAGGGATTGAGGTCCAAGTTTAGTTCTAGCAGAGTTTTAGCTCTAAACCTTAACATTCCCGTACCCAGGGGATTTTCTGCGCAAGATCTGAAATTCTTTATTTCTTACATAAGATTATTCTCAGAGCTGAAATTCTTTATTCCAGATCTTGATAAGAATTTACAAATTTCAGTTCTGAAATTTGGATCTGAAATGGAAAATTTCAGATCTGAAATAGCTTTGAAAAAAAAATTCAGATCTGAATTCAGATCTGAGAAATGCTTTGTAGAATGATCATTTATGCATTCCGAGCAAAAAATGGAGTTTTTAATTTTTGATGTTTCTGCAATACACAATTATGTTTAGATTAACTAGCAAAACTTCTAAATATTTTCACAACAACTTTTTCCCAACTAAATTTCTTGTTCAACTGTGTTAAACAGTTTTTAAAAACTGTTAGAAGACCTTTAAAATTTTTTGATTTTCCTGCGGAACTCATGCCTTTCCAATGTATATCTCATGCTTGGGGAAACATACTTCAGCAGTCTCCAATTTGAGACTATGCTGAGTACCTGTTAGTAGCTAGCAGAAGCAGAAAAAAATCAAAAATAGCAAAAATTGTGTCACAATCATTGATTTTTCATATCTGAAATATTCAAGAAAAACAAAACTTCAGATCTGAAATTAGGTCTGAAATAGTTTTTTTTTCAAATCTTAAATAAACCAGAAAAAGAAAATTTCAGACCTGAAATTAAATCTGAAATAACCAATCCTATAAGTATCCAAGCGTTATGTAAACATTTTACAACCTATTTCAGATCTGAAATTTAGATCTGAAAAAGATTATTTCAGATCTGTTTTGGAAATTTTACTTTTTAGTTTGAATTTTAAATTACACTTTTTTTGTATTCAACTAATTCGTTTCTTTTTTGGAATAACTTCTTCAGTATACGTTTTCTCTGTAATATTATGTTATATTTGCGAAGCAGCCGGCTATTTACATTATTGGGTTTTTTGTAGTCGGAACAATTTTAAAAATTTTAAAAAAAATCGCTCACTTGGGGGTTCAATCAGTGGAGCTAAGTGGAGCCTGCCGGGGTGCGCTCACCACTAAACGAACCAGAAAAAAACGCAATTTGAAACAAGTCTAATTAAACTGATCGTTTTATTATCAGCCTCAAATTCGTGTTTTGTCAATATGTTCTTTTCAAAAACTACTCGGGGTCAGTTAACGGTTAGTCGGAACGTTTAGGGTTTTGCCCTGATACGAGCAATCCTGTTTGTTTTAATGAAACTGTTCGGCAATTTGGGACATATTTCAATGAAAGGATATATATAGACCGGTGAAATCATTTAAAAAATGCAATGTACTATAGCTCTGAAAACTGAAGTAGCATTTTTGTTAGTATAAAATATTGAAATTGAAGCATGAAATAAGTTCACATGTAACAAGACTGCTAAGTTTTTCTCTTAAAAACTAATGAAAAAAATTTAAATGTGGGAAAATTATTATTTTTTTAATTTTGTTTTTCCTTTATTTTATGCAATTCGCTATATAAAGCAAAAAAAATTAAAAGAGTTTCAAATGTTGTAATAAAACCAATTGTTTAGGTTCCCGCGAAAGCATTTTTTTTTTTAAAAAAGAAGCTTGTCTCATGGTGCCATAATTGCTGCAAATTAATTATTAAATTGAGAGTTTCAAACCCTCATAATTTGACATAAAATAAGACAAGGTAAAACATGCGTTTTTCAAATATGAGCTCAACGCAACGATAATTTTTAGTAGTTGGCTTTAAAAAAAATCCGAAACATGATTTCATAAAAAATCCTTCACAAAAAATCCGTCATTTTCCTGAATATTCGGAATAATTATGATGAAACATGTTCACAATTGATTTTGACAGCTTTTTAACGATCCCGGAAAACTATAAAACTTACTTTTCATAGTTTATGTTTTTGAAGTTCTTTCATCAACTGTCGGAATCGACGACAAAGTCAAATCAAATACGAAACTGTTTGCCAAACAAATCGGTTAAATCAAATCCAGGTAAAACTCAGACAGAAATCCGTCCAGTATCAAAACCAATTTATATAACTTCTTCGTCACAAAAGTCATTACAATTTATTTTATTTTAGATTGCAATTTAACCTTTTCATTACAACTTTTGTCCTCTAATCTAATTTTTTCAATTTTTTTTACAAACATTTTAAAATTAGCTGAGACATTTTAGATTGACTGGAGGAGCTAATTCTAATACACATCATTTATATCGCAAAAACTACAATTTTCAGCTTTTATCTGTATTATCTATCTTTTAGATTTATCAGAAAAAATCTGTCTAAACATTGTCTGAATTGAGGTTTTTGAGTTTGATTTCAATCAGGAAAAAAAGGGAACAATTTATTCAAATTCATCAATTATCAATTTGATGAATCCATTAGAAAACTGATGAGACCCTGATAAAGATTTTTCAAATTCAAGCCCTAAGTTAAAATCATCTTAAAAGTTTTTAAAAATGCTGTTAAAACATAGCAGGATAATGATAAATTTTTTTGTCAATTAGGCCAGAACTTTTCTTCTAAATAGATCAATTGAAAAATTGGTTCGATGAGACGTTTGAAAGTCTGATATTATCAGTACCCTACTTGACAAAAATGTCAATCATTCACGATTTTATTGTAAATTCTTTTTTAATAAAGTAAAATTACAAGTATCATCAGCTTTTAGTCAATTTGCTTTGTTCTTGCTTGTAAGTTATCTGTTTAACTGATATTTCAGAAGAAAAAAATTTAAGAAACTCCGAAATTACCTTTTCTAATTATCGAGATTTTCGAGAAGATTTTTTAAACTTTTGATCTCATTATTTTAGGAAAGACAATTCAACGATGGATTTGGCTGAAGTCTTCAACGGAACCGAGATCACAACCAATGCAATTGAAACAGTTTCGAACAGCGCTGCTCAAGTCTTCATGAATGACTTTCTCGGTGACAAAAAAAGTTTAATTTCATCAGAAGTTGAAAAAAGGCGTTTTGAGAATTTCGGTGAATACAATTCATGGTTTATGATATATGAAACCGCTAAAGTCCACATGTTTTAGGGTGCATACCAAATATTTTTTTTAAATTGAAGAGAATTGTCGACAATGAGTGGGAATGATAATCCACTTTTAAAAACTTTGTATAACTTAGCCATTTCAACCTATATCTTAATGATCGAAATATTTTTAGGCGGTTTCAATTTTTCAATATTTTTCGTCAAAACTTGAAAACAGCTGTAACCAACCCAAATTTTTTTTAGTGGTGATCAACTCTTTCGTCACGCCCCTGGCAGGTGTGATTGGACTGATTTTGAACACCCTCGGGGTACTGACCCTCCTGCATATGGGCATCAACTCTTCCTCTATGGTGTACATGTTGATACTCTGCATTGGAGACATCATCTCTGGACTGGTCGACTCCATCCTAATTGTGGGGTGAGCAGTTGCAAAGACTTATGGTCGTAATATTATAATCATAACATAAATAATAATCTTAATAATCATAACAATCATGATCATTAAAAAAATCATAATA